ATTGCCCAAAGAACCTCAACCCAAAGAAACCTGGACTTCAAGACAGCTGTACCCACAAACGTCAATAAACTGCAGTAAAGCTGTAAAGCAGAATGAGGTCAAGATGCATCCATAATAATGTCAGAGACTAATGAAGTCACACAGAAAATTATTACTTCAAGCTACAGTTGCTAAAATTGGTTCTACAATCTTCTGAATCATGAGGTGCACTTAAGGTTTTACTCACTGCTTCTGGATTTTGGCTTAGTTTCAAATACATAAATACATAAATAATGGCATGTGTTGCTCATCTGAGGTAATAATTTTATCATATTAGAAGCTGAAAAGGATTCATATGTGAAACCTCAGAACTGAAATAGGATGTACTTTATTTTTCACATGACAGTTGTATATCAGTTTTACTGACTGATTTCAGCAAATAAGATGCCACTCATCAATTATTAATTAAATCCTAATTAGTATTTAACCGTTATTTTGTTTGCAGAAAAAGATGGACTAAACAAAAAATGTTTTGGATCAAAGAATATTTTATTTTTAAATCACAGAGCCAATCCAAGTAAATACAAAACAGAGTTTTTAAAACGAAAAAAGCTATTCAAACCTACCTGCTATGATGGGTTTCCTGTTCTTACTGAAAAATCCAGTTATTTGGATTTATGCAAATGATACGCAAGATTCTAGAATACGCTTTTCTTTGTTTGCAACAATTAACACATTAATTTTTAAGAGTGACAGGATATATGTTACCAGAGTACACAAGCTGTGTGTCCCAATAAGAGAAGGCAGAGATCCAGGCCTCAAAGTCATGGGCTTTCCACTGAGACAGTGTTGTTAAAGCACCTTCAGCCAGAGAGAGGACGCTGATGCAGCCTGCAGAGTCACTGCACACAATCCGCACGTCACTGCTGCTGACACGACAGGGTGAGGTATTAACATGAATGATATTTGCACAACATGTGACATTGGCTCTTTTATGGAGGAAGCTGACCTGTCCAGTCTTCCAGTGGACCAGTCTAATGACAGAGCCAGCCGCTCTGCTCCAACCTCCAGACTACTGAGAGACTGCAGACTGTGGCTACCCTCCTACTGGATACACACATTCATGAGTGCACACCACAACATCAACACAAAACAACAAATGAATGCACAGTTAGAGGTGAGGCATAAAAACAGCAGCCTTCCTGTAGCCTGAATCCAAATTAGTTGCTGCGCTCATGCACTGCAGCTCAAGCTGTCTGTAGCCGTTACACGGCAATCAAGGCCTTAATGCGTATTTTAGTGTGCTAAACTTAGTAACTGTTAAATACAGGCAAAATTAATGAAACACCAAAATCATAGACTCGACTGATCTTGGGGCCAATAAATCAGCTGATATTAACCATAAATAATGCCATATCTACATTTATAAAAGTCAATAAATATGTAAAAAATAAAGAAAAGTTATACTTTACTCTTCTCCAGTGCACTAATCAATGTGATTGGACAGATTTTGCTGCCCCTTTCATGTTTCTGTCGTTAGATCTGGAAAGCCTCGGTTACCTTAGTGAGCTGACAACCAGTTTTGTGTAACTTTTTATCCTGACTACCAATGATGAGGTTAAGTGAATCCAGATAATGGAAAAATGTTCATAATACAGGCCCCACATGCCACTGTCTAAATCTTTTGATGCCACATTTCTCACCTGACTGCGAGACAGTGTGTACAGCTGCAGCTCCGCGGTAGCTGTTGCCATCCCCAGCACTGCTCTGTCTGACACAGGCACGTGGCACCTATGAACACGCATAACAATGAATATGAGGGAAATAACCGAAGCTACACTGACCAAATCTGCTTTCTTACCATTTCAAATCTAAAATGGCTGCGGTGTCCATGCGCTGCAGCTCTGTGAGAGGGGGGCACATCGGTCCCTCGTGCCGAAATTCAAAAAGGTAGAGACGACCGATCCTGCTCGGGGTGGCATCTTCTTCCCCTCCCTGCAACATGAGAGCAGAAGTGACACAGAACAGACATCAAGGTGGGTCCTCATTAACTCCACTGGTTGCTTCATTCGGCTACCAAGTCTTTATTAATAAAATGTATGCAGCACTCTGGGGCAGCAGTGTAATTTTTTTTTTAATTTAAATGACATAAATGTAATCAAAAATGATTTCCAGGGAGAGTTTAAATTAGCTGCTGTGATCTGGGCCAGTGTGCCTGTATAACAAAGTTAAGTCCGTGTGCTGGTAATGCCATACGCCTATACAGCATTTGTAAGCAAAACAAGCAGCTTCTGAGTGTGTCTGCTTTAATTACCAGCTAGCACTAGAGCAAGAGGAGGAAACCAACTTTTAAAAAAAAAAAAAAAAAAAAAAAAAAAAGAGTTAGCAGGCAATAGAGGAATACCTTGCATTACAATCCTTCTCCTTACATACTAACTAATAAGGCCCTGTCATATTTAAATACGACCCCGCTCCTCACCTTTGGAACCAGTTCCCAGTTTGGATTCAGGAGACAGACACCCTCTGCTCTAAAAGCTGAACATAAAACTTTCCGTTTTGATAAAGCATATCAGGTAGGGCTGGATCGGGGGGAGCTTCCTGTGATACTCTGAGGATTTCTTCTCAACTCACTTCTTTTCACCCCGCACACGTTTTATATACCACTGCCACATGTCATTAAATTGTATCTTCTCTCTCCCACAGTCTGCCCTCATCTTTCCTTTTTCTCTTCTGCTTCCTTTCACAGCTGCCTCTCCCTGAGGCTGCTTCTGTCAGAGGTTTCTTCCTGTTAAAAAGGTTTTTTTCTTTGCCACCATCATATAGTGCTTACTTATAGGGGATTGTTCTAGGGGGTTTTCTCTCCAATACTGTAGGGTTTTTACCTAAATTGAATAGATGTGATGTCACATGAAAACTATGAAAAAGTTGTCTGACGTAATATGAAAGCGTTTTAATTTCTTAGAGAACATGCTTAAGGTAATTAGGAAAGACTGCAACAAACATTTTATTTAAGGGGAGCAAGGGCCAATCTATTAATACCGGATTTTTTTTAAAATATCAATATCTCCTAGTTTGGAGTAAGGTTTACTGTTAGCATGTACTAACCCTTTATTCTGCTCATATTTATCTTATACTGGACCATGGTGCAGTTTAGCCCCAGTCTGAAATAAGTTCCTTAACGCCTCTGCCTTTAAAACCATCCTGTTTTTAAGCTTACTTTCACACAATTCTTCTGCACTCACAGTCAGAGCTATACCTTACAGAGCCATGACTGGAAAAAGAAAACTGACTCAAACAAAGTCCCAGTCTAAAGACTAGGATTACTTGTACATACACTGACCTCATTATTTAAAATGTTGTCCATGTTTAATATGAGAACCAAATACTGGAACTGTATACATATACAAAAAATGTAAAGATTTTAGGTCCATGTAAGTGAACAACTGGAACTTCTGCCCAGACATTGGGTAAATCTATAACCCCACCATTTAAAAAATAAATAAATCACAGCCCACATTAATATCTATTCCTGACTTGACTTAAATGGTAAAATATACTAACTACTAATGATTCAAAGTAAAACACTGAAGCTTTATATATTATACTTGTCAGCTGACATCAATTGTACAAGCCATCACTTTTTTTTGTTTTTTAACAAACCAATTAACATAGTGGTCAGAGTTCTATGGCTTCTTTACTTATTACTAATCTGGTCTAAATGCTTACAGCCAGCGCTGGAGGTAAGCATTTTACCCACAAACCTCTTTTAGCAATCCAATCCGGTGATCCAAACACCGCCAAAACAGGTGGACAATGCACACGGGACCAAATTCTCATAATTTTAAGCGAAGGAAGGGTGTAAAGACATTTGTATACAATTCTATTCCCATGACAGGTAATGGGATGTAATCTCACCCCTTTCTGTAGCTGATACGTGCCGCAGGCCAGGATGCTGTGGTTGGGTGAAACAGGACACCACTCCACCGCGTCAGCGCTCAACTCCGTGTCGAACACCTGTAGACTGCGGGTCTTCGACTTCCAAGCCATGAATACCTGATGTGCATACCGTTATCCCACGGGTTGCTACAAATTCCAAAATATATCCTGTTACGACTCAGTTGTTAAAAGACAGTAAACTAGTGCACGACATCTTAAGCATTTTAAGTTAAATTTAATTAACGTAACAAAATGTTTTGGTCGCTAGCTAGCAAGCTATGAATAACTGGCTGCAGCCTCACAAGAGCCAAAATGTCACCAGTCAGAGATTTATAGCATATTCGTATACCGTATTCCTAACGTTCATATACACATTCTTTGTATATGAACATTTAAAGTCACTTTTAGTTTAGTTTAATGCCGAATAACCGCAGAGAAACACGTAACAAACAAAACTCACATGTGTGCCAGCCCTGAGACTCGACGCTTTTAGCGTCCCTACGTCATCTCTGAGCGTCACGGTGTATTTAGGTGCCAAAGTGGGGAATTGCTATTTAAGAACAAAAGATAGTTTATTTATCCTGTATTTTGGATACATTCTTTTGTTAAAGGAGTTCAATCAATAATAAAGGTATTGTAAAGAGTTAATATATTTTTTTTAAAAAAAAGTATGAGACAGAGTTATTTCATGTGGTATGAAAACTGTATATGTCCTTTACACCAAAATGTGGAACAGAGGCAAGTAAATTAATGCCAGAGTCAGAGGAATGCAGACACATGCCGAGGCATTTTTCTTTCTTAATTTTGTTGTGAGGTTTTAGCCTTCGTTTAGAAGACTGTTCCTTGGTTCAGCGTCATTTTTGCGGCATTGTCAACAATAAAAATGGCGACATCTGCTGGTATGAAAGCTTATACCACCGGCTATGGTCAATTTCTATATCGCAGTCGTACTGAAATTTAAGATCTGATTACGATCAGATTTCAAGTTACTGTTGCTGTCTTGCCATGTTGTATTGTTGTTAAATTATAAAAATATCATACTGCTATAATCTAATGCTTTTCCTATTTCCGTAAAATGATGCGTCTGACGTAAGCTAAGGTCACGTGACTTTGGCGTGTGCCACAACATCTAGTGGAAAGTGTTAAGAGAGCTCTCCCTCGAGTGTTTTAAATCATAAATAAACGAAATGGATTTCAGCGTGAAGAAATTAGCCTCGGGTGCTGGACTGTTTTTGACACGGGCTGTCCAGGTAATAAAGCGCTCGTGAGTGCCGCGAGCGGAAAAGTGTTGTGGCTTTTGCTGTCGCATCCTTTCACTTTGGCAGTCAGTTGTTACTGGCGTTAATAACAATTTGGTACAGTCGTTTATGACTTTGCGGTATATCGCTATGTCTAACGTGACGCTGCATATCAGCATCTAAAGCAGGTGAAATTGATAAGATATTCAGCTGTGCCTTGCTCGTAGTTTGGGCCAGCGGCGCAGTTCAACATAGGACTGACTGAGTGCTATCTCTGGCAAGCTAGCGTAGCTAATATTAATTATTTCTCAAGTTAAAAGAGGCACAAATATAGTACAAATATAAACGTTTTTTTTTTCTCCATTTGGATTAAGGGTGACAGGGGGACGGAAGTGACAACGATTAAGCACGAGCAGATCATTAACCGGACTCCTTCGTGACGTCACTTTTCTTAATATTACTGTTTTGTTTTATTTTTTTATTCGCATGTATGTGTGTAAAAACTGATTCCATCTCAGAGCAGACAGACGCAGATGTGTTCGAGTACCGTCGTTCACCTGTGAGATGTGTGTTGTTTGCGCTCTGACGCCTCAGTTCACAGAGGAGAAGTTGGGCCAAGCAGAGAAGACCGAGTTGGACGCTAAGTTTGAGAACCTGATCAGCCGGGCAGACTGCACCAAACACTGGACCGAGAAAATCTACAGACAGACTGAGGTCCTGCTTCAGCCCAACCCAAGTATGACATCAACATAGAAGTCTCGTTATTATAGGTATTATAGGTGGAAAGAATAATCAATAATCATATTAATAAGGAAATTAAATTATACACTCACTGTCAATTTTATTAGGCACACATACTCATTTTAAAGCAGTTAAACATGACAAATCTTGTCTATAATAATAATAATAATATATGTATATGTAAGGAACCATATTAATTGATGTGTTATGTAAAGCATGGTGGCACAGTGGTTAGCACTGCTGCTTCACAGTGAGATGGTAGATTTGAGTTTGCATTGGTGATTCTAAATTGTCTATATGTGTGAATATGAATGTGAATGGTTCTATAAGTGTTGTTGGCCCTGTGACAGACTAGCAACCTGTCCAGGGTGTACCTCGCCTCCCATCCTGTAACAGCGTGGTATCTCGACCCCCCATCTCTAGTGTTGTTAACGGAGGCACCCAAAGCCACCCAAAAGGTACTTGCAGTGTGTCAAATACACTGTAAGTAATGTTTATTTATAAAGCACTTTTCAAGTTGGTGCCACTCACCAGAACAAAGTCATGCGTTTCTGCATGTGAATTTTAATGTGTAGACATTAAATGAGTGCCCACATTGAGATGGCTTTCTGCTTGAAAGTGTTAGCTGCCTGATAATATTGATGAATTGCACTTATCTAGCAAAACAGTTTGTGATATAGATTACATCAGTTTAGACATCCAAACTCCCAAGACTGGTTTGACTGAGAAATGTCTAGCTTCATGTTAATTAATGTTAAGAAATAACCAACACCAGGTTTTATACAGTGTACCTAACTTACAACTAACTAGCTAGCCTTACCTTGCTAACTTGATTTATGTGCTCTGAGAGCATATATTGCTTGGGAGAACAATGTTTTGTGGATGCTTTTTGACCATGCATGAATGTGCTTTAAGCGGATTGTGTTATAATGTTCATATTGCCATATTTAGTAAGTATTTCATAAGAACAATAGCCCACCCCAGGCTAGTGGTATGCTATGATTATATTAAACGTAAGGGGACTGTCTAAGCCAAGAATCTTAACTGTGATCTAATTACAACATCCTGAGCTATTGATTAAATATATGAAAACAGGGGCTCTAACTTGTCACTGTTTTATTCTGCATGCCACAGTTGATCATACTGGTGAGTATTTCGCCTGCCTACTCTAGTGACCTGCTTTAGAAACCTATCATGTCTCTGAATTATTAGTAGAAAACGAATAATTCCTTAACAGGAATCAGTGTGAAACACAGTCAGTGTTTTGCAGGCTAAGTGCAGATTATCCTGGCAAGTATAGCAACTTTTAAATGCAAAATTTGAGGCATTTATAAGATTTGTATTGATCACTAGCTTTTACAGATTGTATTCAATTATATTGAGCCATCTACTGGATGTAGATGTATGTATGTATGTACCCTAACAAGAATTAATGTATCACAAACCATCAAAACCTTGTTAGAGGCAGAGAGATAAATGCTAAAAGTATTTCTTCTGTTAAATTAGTTCTCTAATAGAACAGTTTGTACTTCAGACAGAACATCATATCTGTGATGAGGATGATAATGACTTTAAGCTCTTAAGAGAGAATGACAAAAGAAACTCCACAGAAGATGACACTGGCGGTTGAGAGCTAATGGAGATAATGCTAAATTTAGAGATGGCAGGGACATTTTAGATTTTAGAAAACATTTGGCTACCCTTTTTCACTGACACCCAGTTCTCCCTCATAGTAGCTATCCATACACTGGACTCCTCTAGTAACTTTTTAGCAGTTTACAATTACCTTCATTTCTACAGCTTATTTTACATTCTTTCATAGTGTGTAGTGGTGTGTGTATTTAAGGAAGATGTAAAGTCAAATTTGTGTACATACATTACCAGTCAAAAGTTTGGACACACCTTCTCATTTAATGTTTTTCTTTATTTTCATGACTACGTACATTGTAGATTCTCACTCAAGGCATCAAAACTATGAGTGAACCCATATGGAATTATCTGGGAATGCTTTGCACACTCTTGGCATTCTGTCGACGATCTTCATGTGGTAGTCACCTGAAATGGTTTTCCAACAGACCGAAACAAATCTCTTCTGCTTGCTACTTTTCCTTAGTAGTGGTTTCTTAGCAGCTATTTGACCATAAAGATTGATTCACACAGTCTCCTCTGAACAGTCGACGTAGAGATGTATCTGCTGCTGGAGCTCTGTGTGGCATTTATCTGGACTCTGATCTGAGGTGCTGTTAAATTGTGATTTCTGAGGCTGGTGACTCAGATGTACTTATCCTCCGCAGCAGAGGTGACTGTTGGTCGTCCTTTCCTGGGGCGTTCCTCATATGAACCAGTTTCATCTGAGTTCCCGATGGTTTTTGCGACTGCACTTGGGCACACGTTTAAAGTTTTAGCAATTTTCCAGACTGACTGACCTTCAGTTCTTAAAGTAATGATGGACTGTCGTTTCTCTTTAATTGCTGATTGGTTATTGCCATAGTATGAATTCTAACAGTTGTCAAATAGGGCTGTACCAGCCTGACTTCTGCACAACATAAACTGATGGTCCCAACCCCACAAAGAGGGCAAGAAATTCCACAACTGAACCCTGACAAGGCACAAATGTGAAGTGAAAACCATTTAAGGTGACTACATGATGAAGCTCATTGAGAGAAGGCAAAGGGTTTGCAGCACTGTCAACAAAGCAAAGGGTGGTTATGTTCAGAAATCTAAAATATAAGACATATTTAGAGTTAATTATCCGTATCTGTATTCTTTTTTGCTACGTAATTCCATATATCGTGCTTCATATATTTACTGTCTTCAGTATGTATCTACAATGTAGAAAGTAGTAAAAATAAAGAAAAACCATCCTTCAACAGTTCAAACTGTTGACTGATGGTTCAGGTAGACGTTTTCTTTATTTGATTTACAGTTTTCCACAAGTAATAAAAAATACATGAAAAAAACTGAGCTAATAAGCAATGTGCTATTCAAGAAAGCTATGATCACTAACAAATGAATGAAAAAACCCACACACAACATCAATAGGAGCAAGCTACAATTTTTTTGGTCATGTTTTTCTCTCTGAGAGCTTCAGTACTTTTTCTTATTTGTACTTGTGGAAAACATGTTTACTTTAGGTATGGCCAAGTCATCCACTGGGCTTTATTTTTCCATAATATTCTATGTAACATTAGATTTTTAATAATTGTTACTGTATCGTTAATTCAAACACTGTATTTTCAGTATTTGAATTGAATTTGTTCTAAAACTGCGATTCATTTAATTTATGTTTCTGTTTGACGCAAGCCAAAGGAGCCAGAACACACATTTGGTCCCTGCTGTGCGTAGATCACAACCTGCTGTTCTGACTTTTAATTCAATTTAATTCAAGTCACTTTTATTCACATATTCACCAATTTACAAGAGTCGCCTCAGTTTACTTTAGATACCTGGCTTTGGGAGGATCAGAAATACGCTGCGAATGGTTGGGTTTAAGGGGAACAAAGAGAGACAGGACAAAAAACAAACTATAGAAGTTACGAAGAGCTGAATAACTCTTCGTCTGAAGTTAGTTTGAAGCCTTAAACTTAAGTAGTGAGCGTGCTAAGTCCAAACTGGTAGCTAGTTCAATAGTAGAGCGGCCCGGGGGACTACAGTGGGACTTCAAGCTTTCAATTAGAAAGTATCTAGTGCCGTTAACTCTTTGTTAATGTTATGGTGACGTGCTAGTGTAAGTGATGCACTGCTAATGCTGCTAATGTGTTTTTCAGGTGTACATGCTATAGTGCAACAGTAGACTTTGACTCACTTGTAAATGTTGTGCTTCATGTAGCAAACCAAAGAGGAAATGACAAATGAAGACGAATGACTTTTTAAGTTCTGTATTTATGTCGAAAGAATGAGTCAGCATTCAGTAGTGTGCAAAACAGTTGAGCCAACCCTACTTTATTTCTATTTTGCTAGAAAAATGGGGAACGTGTATCACAGTTTATTATAACATATGCAAACATGTATGGAGTTACAGTATATAAGGCAAAAACAAAGCTTGAAACTCAGTTTTTGGCATGACCACCTTAATTCTACAACACAACCTAAACTGCTTAGCCAAACCTTTCCCATCCTTTTTGACAAGATTCCCAACACCCCAGGATGCAATGCAGTTCCTTAAAAACCAAAATGGCACACTCTGAGAATGATAAGTTATGAGGATGGGACTGAAAATGAGTGAAAAAGCAGTGAATTTCTAAAGAAAAACTCTAAAATACCCAGAGAAAAGCTGGAAAAAAGCCAATAAAAAACCAATAAAAGTGTCCTAAATCACTCAGTCACTAGTTTCAGGTCTAACTGAATAAAACAAATTATTTGAGTGAAAAAGGAGGATAAAGCCGGTTTTGCTTTGCCGTGTCATTCACAAGCCACCTGGTTTTTCAGTCGGATCCAGATTGTTTGATTCCAAAGCACCATAATGGTGAGGGCTAAAGTCCTCAGCTTGAGGCTTCATAGCGAGACCTCACTTTCTAATGGGTGATGCTGCTATGTCCTACTGCTATGTCCATCTTTTATATTTAGTTTGTGTGCACAACAGTCTGTTGGTAAAGGTTGTTAGTTTCTCTTTGGCTTTGGTTATGTAGAGCTGAGCAGCAGAATTTTAGTTTGTATGAAATGGCTGTGTGCAGGAGTTTATGAGAATCAGTGACTCAAACATATCATCGTACTGTAAGAAGAAAACAACATTTTGCTTTGGGTCATCACAGTGTCTGAGCTTTTGTACATTAATTCAGCAGTTTGGCTCCATATTTAGAGTTTCAAGCATAATAGACTACATTCAGGTAATTAAAGGCTTACATGACGTAAAATGTTTGTTCTGAGGAGCTTCTGATTTTGGGCTTGTGTCAAACAATTTCATTCTACGCTATAAGGCTGCAGTAAGTGGGTTTTATGTACTGACTACATTGCGGTGGACAAAATAACAGAAAACTTAGAATTCATTGTCAATTATATGACCCTTATCTGGTATGTTTTGGAGGTTATTTTGTTTTTTTACCATAGTGAAAATGTGAGTAGCATCCATTCAACCAGACATAGAAACATCTCATATAGAAATTAAATGAAATTAAATGAAGACTACACCCAGAAATGCTTTGTATTGTCTTGCCACACTGTGTTACCTGCAGTGCCTCATAGGGGAAACTTTCCCTGCATGCCAAGTGATGCACATTTGCACCAAAGTTTGAAGGGTTTTTCCTTCACCTATGCACCACCTCGCTACCAGATTCCATGATATTCAGAGATGTAGTTTCACATGATTTTGAACAACAGCAGCACTTGCTTTGACAAACGAAATGTATTATATATATGGCTGAATACATCTTACTTAAGTACTGTTCTAAAATGAAATTATCACTATTATCACTCTTTGCATTTCATGCAACATTGAAATTTTACCCTACTATGTTTCAAATAGAATTTGTTTTTAGCCACAAGGAGGCTAAGAAGTGTCAAAATGGATATTTACCAATGAGGTTACAGGTTATTAAACAGTAATAGTGGTGGCTGTTTATTTTGCTGAAAGCTGTCCACCCTGTAATTCGGTCTGTCTGTTGTGCTGAGCAGTCTGAAGGGTTTGACCACACAGGGTCATTATTTCTGAATATAGTTTTCATTTAATCAGCATGTGGGTAAGAATTTCAACTGGTTCTTTATTTCTCAGTTGTGCCATGAATAAACTCTTCTTTATTTTTCACTGCAGGTGCCAGAATCGAGGAGTTTCTTTTTGAAAAACTGGACTGGAAGGTGCCGTCCAGGGTTACTAATGCAGAGCTGCTGGGTCAGTATATGCAGGATGCAGCAAAAGAGTTTGATCTTGGAATGCCATATGGTGAGTATAAAAACTCCCAACAAACAAAGTCCTAGGAGTTAATAAAAAAAATTCTAATTAATTCTGTATCAGGAAAAACAACTGGAGGAGGCCCAGAGTTCTAATGATAAAGAAATCTATTTGTCATATTTCTCCCATACTGGATTTTCTTTATTGGCTTCCTCTTAAATCCAGAATTAAATTTGAAATTCTTCTACTCGCGAACAAAGTCTTGAATAAGCAGGTCCAATCATATGTGAAAGACATTATAATACCGATAGAGCATGTTAGAGCTCTATTTGTACAAGCTACAGACTTGTGGTTTCTAGAGTTTTTAAAAGTGGAATGGGAGGCAGAACTTTGAGGTATGAAAAACCTGGCTTTCCTGTGGAACCAGGCCAGGTCTCCGTGTTTTGGAGACAAACACCCTCTCTAATTTTGAGATTAGACTTTAAACTTTACCTTTTGATAACTCCAAAAAGGTTGATTCTGTTCACTAGTAACATAGTGTTTTCAGTGGGAGAAAGGTTTCTTCACTCATCCAAGTGACTTCTACAGTCTCAGCTGACTGCAGGTTTCCCCAACCCTATAAACAGTACATTTGCACAATGACTGAAACTAGCAGCACTGAATGAACAATGGGCTGTGAGGTCAGTTTGATCATTAATATGCAAATTCTCATGACCATAGCCCACTGATCAATGGTCATGAGTACCATTCACAGAGAGTTGGCACACAGCATTGTGAGAGCATTGCATTGTGAGATGGCGATAGATGTACCCTTGGGCCCCTTCCTTGATTCAGAGATGGTCTTTCCCTTTTCACATAAATAGCCTCCATGACTCCTTGACTTGTGTACATCCTCATCAGTGAAAGAGTGTCAACTGACCTGTAGGTGTAAATAGGCTGCAGAGTCCTGGCCTGACAAGGTGAATCTTGTGTGTTGTGCCATCCGCTTTACCAGAGGTTGTTTGGTTTCCCCACTGTATAAATCCTAGCAATCCTCCTGGCACTTAACAGCGTACACTACATAACTCTGTTTGTGTCGGGGGAACAGATCCTTGGGGTGGACCAATTTTTGGCGCAGCAATTTTTAAAGTTTAAAAGCCACAGAGACGCGGTGTTAAGAAAAAATGCGTCCCAACTGTTCCGATACTCCTGACACATACGGGATCACTACGGGTTTTCATTTAGGCAGCAGTTGTCCTTCTCTCCTTGATTGGCTGGAGCTTTCTTTAGGCGCCTGCCCAGCTTTCACAGCCCATTGTTCATTCAGTGGGCTAGTTTCAGTCATTGTGCAAATGTTCTCTTTATAAGGTTGGGGAAACCTGCAGTCAGCTGAGACTGAAGAAGTCACTCGGATGAGTGATGGAACCTTTCCCCCCTTTAAAACACTACGTCGAGATGAACAGAATCAACCTTTTGGGATTTCCTTACCTGGATGATTGAGCATGAAGACACCTTTTGATAACATTTATCAAGATGTTGGTTCAGGTGACTCTGAACCTTCTGTTAGTTATGACACTGTAAACTCAAGCTGTCCCCATGATGCACTGTATGTTTTCTTCTGCTTGTTTTACATTTTGTCTTGCCTCTCCCATAGTGTGTGTTCTATCCTGTCTCATTATGCTCTCTTATTGGTTTTCTCTTTCCCCTCACCCCCAACCTGTCGGGGCAGATGGCTGCCCTGCAAACCTGGTTCTGCCTTCCTGTTAAAAGCGAGTTATAACTTCCTTCTCCTGCAAAGTGCTTACTCATACTATTTCATTTGGTTCACGTTTTCAGAATACTGTAGAGTCTTTACCTTACAAGTGCCTTGAAGCGACTTTTGTTATTTGTATATGTTGGTATTAGCTTACATGGATATAGCCAACATTCTGCCAAAATGGCAAATATGCATCGGGAAGAGTTGAAGCAAGTAATTCTTGCAAGCATGATGTAACTAGAATAATTCAATACTGAGAGAGTAAGAATATAGTGCTCTGAAAAAAGTGAAACCAATAAGGAGATTGCTTTATCCGTTCTCTTGCTAACAAAAATCTGTTAATTTCCAGAAGTTTCTGTTCTGCTGGAGGTAGTTTTTTCTGAGTTGTCTTTCTATGTATAGAAAGACATAGAAAGAAAATACATATTTGTCTTGCATAACTCTCTGTTTTGTCACCATGTAGGTCACTCTACTGCATAATACAGGCATATGTGTCAGATCATGATCCCTGTGATCATGTCCCTGTGTGGAAATCTAAGAATCAATACTGCTTTGAATGAGCTAGTCTGTGCACCTCATTCTGTTGCTGCATCAATAGTCAGGGCCAAATGTGACCAGTGTCACAGAGGAGGAATTCCAGGTCTCAAAAAATCAATAGGAGAATGAGATTTATGCAGGAGCACTTAACTTATCATTTAGATCTCCTTCCCAGACATTTTGAGTGAAACTCCCAAGAAGTTATTTGTTGTATCCCCTTTGACAGAGCAAAGAAGACAAGGGACTTGGTATTGGAATGAAGAAGTACAGGACAGTATTAAAAGGAAGAAGTCAGCAAACAAGTGGCATGAAAATAGACAGGAATATTTGGAGGCTAGGTGTAAAGCAAAAAAAGGGCTTATAGTAAACTGTATGTGACAAAGGACTTGTATCGATTGGATAGCCAGAAAGATAAAGCACAGAGATAGAAATGTATCAAGGAGTAAAGCATGTGTTGAGAAGATGGAACATGGAAAATGAGAGAAGGAAAGTTTGTGAATCAGGAAGCGTAAAGAATTAGTAAGAAGGGCAAGGCAGCTATTTAAATGTTGAAGCGTGGAAAGGCGATTGGTCCAGTGACATACATGTGGGGGTATGGAGATGTCTAGGAGAGAAGACCGTGGCCAGCCTAAGAAATAGAAGTGTACCGATTTTCAAAAACAAGGGTGATGTGAAGAGCTATGTCAAAGGGATAAAGCTGGTCATCTATATAATTGGGGTATGGGGAAGAGTTGTTGAAGCTAGATTAAGAAGAGAGGTGATGATCAGTGAGCAGCAGTATGGCTTCATGCCAAGGAAGAGCGCTACAGATGCAATGTTGCCTTTGAGAGTTTTGATGGAGAACTACAGAGAAGGTCAGAAGGAGTTGCACTGTGTCTATATGCAGATCAGGCAGGAGTCTCTGTGAACTATTATGTTTGCAGGACTATGACGTCTGTTTGTGATCTGTAGTGAGAGTTGGAGCAGGTGGAGGTATGAGGACAATCAGTAGAATCAGTACAGAATACATGTGTATGAATGAGAGGGAGGCAGGGGTAACAGTGAAGCTGCAAGAAGCACATGATGAATGTAGATGAGTTTAAAAGCTGTCCGAAGTAATGGACAGTGTACATGAAAGGTGAAGAAGAAAGTGCAGGTAGAGTGGATGGACATACGTGTCAGGGCTGATCCGTGACAGAAAGATGGCAAGAGTGAAAAAGAAGGTTTAGAAGATGGTTTGATTGGATTTCCGGATTTCATGAGCTTTAACATGAAAAGTTTCCAAAATGTATACTGTAGGTAGAACAGCACAACATGTTTTTCACATTGTGTGATGTGTCATATATATGTGTTAAGGGGAAATTGTACTTAGTAGTCAGTATAAGCTTTTAATGATATAAGTTTACATGTGATAGAACACTGCATGATGACCTTTTCCCTGCTTAGAACTGATTGTCCTTTATGAAACGTGTTCTGATATTTGTATCTGAATCTTCCCACAGCGACAGTAAGAAGTCAAACAAGCAGTTCTGACCTCGCACACACACACACACACACAGTGGCTTGCAAAAGTATTCAGTCCCCTTGAACTTTCCCACATTTTGTCACATTACAGCCACAAACATGAATCAATTTTATTGGAATTCCACGTGAAAGACCAATATCACATACGCACATGCTCACGTCACTGAACAAATGTATTCATTTTTCTTGTGTATGAATAAAGACAATTGCAAGAACAGAGCGCGCATTTCACAGGGCCCCCACTCTGATTTGAGCGCTCTGCGAAACGCCCTTGCAAGTTAAAACTGCAGCGTCTGTGTGTGTTTTCTCCTCTTAGACTCTCAGCTGAAGAAGTGTCATTTAGAATAAATCTCTTGACAATATGAAATGGATTCTTGTATATAATATTTTTTCTGCTAAAGTTGTTAAATCAACAGATACCTTGATATATCACATAAATCTATAAAATAAATACATAAAAAACAACTACAAAATTATGCCAAGCTAAATGAAGGATGCTACTTCCGAACTAATGTAACTGCATAATGGAATATCTGATTAGTCCCAAATTGGATATGACAGTTGACACTGGCTTTAGCTGTGTGTCTGAAAAAACTTCTGCAAATAAATATAATCATCACTACCCATTTGAGCATTACAGTGTACCGTAGGTAGGTCTGGCTGTGGTTTGTCCACGTGGTGTTGCTGCAGCACAGAAAAAGCTGCTGCTGCTGCGAGGGCATAATCAATGCCAAACACCATGCTGCCTCATTAATTTCAAATGGATTAAAGCAGACAAACAGAACAGAAGTATAGTAGTTAGGATTCATGAATGTTTTCCTTGAGCTGTTAACAGCACACTTATAAAATCATCGCAATAATACACACTGAAGGAAAGGCATGAAAAGGTAACATAAATGCTATCACCTCATTTTTTACTGGAACTGTAATTGTGGAAACAATAATTTCTTTGTTCTAAACTTAAATTTTATAGTTTAATCCATTTTATTCTGCTGCAACCAGATGCAAGTGTGCAAAGGCTACACTAGCATGTGCACATGGTCATGCCATGACATTCATTCAAAAAAGTTTCAATTCTCTCTTCTTTACCAATGCTATGGTGTGCTTACAGCATGGTGGGAGTCTTTTTGGTGAGTAGATCTAATGTGTTTCTTCCAGGGAACACTTTGGAGAAGGTGGGGGAGTGTGAGAAAAGATTAGGAGAAGCAGAGAAGGAGTTCCTCCAGACGTCAGCCATCAGCTTTCTTACGCCTCTCAGGAACTTTCTGGAAGGAGACTGGAGAACTATTTCAGTGAGTCTGGAATATCACATCTATTCCAATGTTGTTTGAGTCATACTTCCAATATATACAATATACCACACACTGTATCACAACAAAGTGATTCTGTGATACTCAGTATGTTGCAAGACAATAATGTACAATACATCTTGATATCAGTATAACTGAAAAAAGAAAAATCTCTATGAACATGTCAAAAAACATTATGTATGCCATTGGTGTGTGTATCTGTGTATTAACTTTATTATTCAATTTATTAGCTCTTCAATGTACTTTACTTATTGTCTGCTGTGTCAGCTATGTTCACATCTGCGAGTTCTTTATTTTTCTTGTTAGTGAGCTTTTGTTCATTTGTCCCCTCACTGAGTAAGAAGGAATCATGAAGAAATTATATTTATCCAGTGAATCACTAACCTATTGCAAAAGAGAGCAAAATGATATAGACCGTATATAAAAGATGGACGAACTTCCTGAAGCCAACATGGAAGTTCCAGAAGGGATGAACTCCTCTGTATGCACTGGGCGGAAAAGACATTTCATCTCACCTGATGGGATTATGGTCTCAATCGCTAGTTTCAAGTCTTATTGAAAACATCAGTGTTTGGTTTTTTTTGGCTTGTTGGAAGGCTCCTGTACATCAGAGCTGCTAGATACCATGCGAGGTCTGCTTATGATGCTTGTATTTTCTCCACTTGATATTGCTTAAGATTACAAAAAATGAAGACAAAATTAGGAAGGCTAATTAACCTCAAGTAGTGTTTTACCTTGCCAAAAACCAAAGTCATGTCACTGCATAGAGACAGTTTAGCTTTAAAAGATACTTTTAAACATACATCAGCCAGTATGTTTAAATACTGTTTTTCACTATTTACAAACCGCCAGTGAGCAATCGAGTGTTTTCCTTGTAACATATGAGCAAACCAGCAGAGGTCAGCATTGTTGTTGTTTCTATGTTGTCTGACACCACAGCATGTATTAAATGTTACATGTCCCAGTAAGTTAGTAGCCTTATAACCTGCTTGAACTATAAACGTTGCTTTTTTTGTTAACTTTTGTGATTAGGACTAAATCAGATGAATCCCTTAGCTTTGCTGCTACAGGCTGCTGGAAGACTTCCCATGATGCATTCAGCATTTCTCATTCACTCCCTGCTTTTACTATGCATGTATTTAAATGCTACTTCTGCATGTCATTAATGTTTGCCTGCTGCTTAGTTTGTGTTTTGTCCTTTTTACGGTATAGAAAGAACGTCGCCTTCTGGAGAATCTTCGCCTGGACCTTGATGCCTGTAAAACACGAGTGAAGAAGGCAAAGGTGGCTGAAGCAAAGGCCGCGGTGAGTTCATAAGCAGCTCACAATCAAATTCCCACACGCATTACCTCAATAATTCAGATGATTAATCTTTGGCGATGCTTGGATTAACCATAACTAACTGTTTATGCATTCTTTGCAGTGCGAAGGGGAAGTAAGTATTGAGGACATGTCTTTTAAACTCTTGGATGCATGTCTTGGGTTGTTTTTCTTGTCATACTTGCTTTGGCTCGATTTAATTGTCTGCTGTTACTGCAGGTTTTACTGTTAATAAGTGAAGTTTTCACAGACAAGGCTTGACTATTACATTACAACGGAATGTGGCGATTAGTCAAATTTGGCAAACTGTGTTAATTAAAAGCAACTCACACAGTGTCATTTACCATTTAGTATCTCACCTGGGGGCCCCTCTGCATGGATTCTATATGTGTAGTTTTTATGATTTGGTCGTTGATATTTTGGTTTTTCACAGCAGATATGTGATTGGCTGTCAAGGCAAGCTACTTGGGAGCAGATTTATTTAACATAAACAAGACTTAATGACTGTCTTAAACTCACTGTTGACCATGACACAATTCAGGAACTGAGAACATTGCACAGTCCCTCTTTAGCATTCCCTGACTCAGTTATTGCAACCTATTAGGCAGGAAATACAGAAGGCACACCACAAGACCACAAAAACAGTGGGAATGTTCAATGAGCTGACTTTGCCGGAAATAAAGTCAGCTCTCCTGCTTCCTGGCAGCGTGGAAGGAATGCTCGCTTCCGCGATGAACAATGTATTCAGTTCATAAAGGGTAAATGTGAGGGGGTTTTTTCAATTCAGCCTGCATCCCTTTTTCTTTAAAAGAACATTAGTTGCCCTCTTTTGTATAAACTAACAAATCAGCTAAATAAATAAATAACATACCTGAATTTCTTTGTATTTTCCTTTAGTTGTTGTTCTAATGTCCTTAGTGTGCTGCTACTTTGATCATTAAGTGAATCAGTATTATCAGGATTACACGATCCTGGATCATCAAGGGACCTTGGATTTCTTAAGCAGAGTATGGAGAATGCATCCCTGGTTAATATTGCAGTGACTTTTCTTTACAAATATCTTAACTTAGTGCTCATTTTCATTGAAGATTGAGAATATTTTCATGGATACACAGATAGATACTATGTATTGATGGAGATCTCTATTTTGTCCCTACGGCCTCTAGGGCTGTGTTCAATTTCCTAGCCAAGCATCCATACATCTGTCTCTGTCACTGCCACCTTTCTCAGCACTGGGGTCTGAGCCCTATTTATGTGCCTGTGTGTATAGACCTCTGATGCCACAAACACATGCCTTAGGATGCCCAGCACTTGCTGAACAATATGGCAGCCACAGTGATTCATAGTTCAAATGAACAACAGTAACCGTACAGCATCTGTGCATATGTCTGTCAATAGGCATCAGAAAATGTACTTGGATATTCATGAAGTCCTTAGGAGCTGATTATATATTACTGCAAAGATAGGCATGTTCTTGCTGTAAAACTGTAACCTTTGTGGCACACAGAGCCACTCTGCAAAAGGAATCAGGCTGCATCCAGATGCCTCACTAAATGCCACTACTGCTCTCAGTTAAACCTAATTAATGATATGAAACAAGTACAAAAACATCTTCTGCTACTTTCCCCTTCATAGTTAGTGGCAGACCCTTGTAGTTGATAACCTCTCTTGAAGCTTGTTTTTGTTTTTCACTGTTAAACAGGACTTTTGTTGCACTTTTATCCTTCATTTTCAGTAACTTTTGCAACCAGAATGCATGTTAGCATGCGTATGAATAAATAAAAAATATGTCAGTGTTCCGTTTAAAGAAATGTTGACAGATGTTAATCACCAGCAAACTGTCACACTTCTGCAATTATTATGAGTGCTGTGCTTTTCTGATTGTAATTTGGAGGAATTCTTTTTAGTAGCAGTGCCTTGTTTACACTGAGTAAGCAACAACAACAAAAAAAATAACTGTACTGTTTCTGTAGACAGCTCCAGATTTTCAGGAAACCAGACCTCGCAACTATGTGCTTTCTGCCAGTGCCTCTGCGGTAAGAAGACAATCTTGCTTTATTAAATACTGATGAGAAAAATAACACAAACCTATGTCATTATGCGATACTTTTTCATCTTCTGTTTGTCAAGTTGATCTTTCACTCTTATGACCAATGCATAGTTCACTGACTTTTTATGATTCATAATTAAACTTGAGGCAATTCAGAAATCGATATACTTTGTCATGCTGGCAAGTAGTTCAGGTAGCTGTGAAGCTATGCTTCATTAATGTTTGACTGGAGGTGTGTCAATCCGGTAAGAATGTTTATTACCCGTAATCATTACTGGTGGCAGTTTGCATAGCATCCTTATGTGTCATATCACTGTATTATGTATTGTGAATGATTGTTGTCCTACCATTGATAACAACCGTCCCACATCCTAGAGTGATGTTGTTCATTGGTTTAAATCTAGCAGTCTGTCACTGCCTTTACTTTTGAGCAATGCCAAACCACACCTGCTGGGTGTGACTAAAAGTGTGTGTGTGTGTGTGTGTGTGTGTGTGTGTGTGTGTGTACTGGGTTGAAGGCAAGGCATTTTTCACGCTCAATATGTGGTAGTATCAGGGTTACAATTGGGTTATCGTTAGGTTTAGGGTAAGGGTCAGGGGTACACATTGATTTTTGATGATAGGGTTAGGCTAAGCGGCTAGGGAAAGCATGTCAATGAGATGTCCCCACGAGGATAGCAACAGAAGACGTGTGTGTGTGTGTGTGTGTGTGTGTGTGTGTGTGTGTGTGTGTGTGTGTTATATCAGTTTCAAAATTCATAAATATGAATATTTATTCAGTGTCAAGATTTCAGAGTTTAAAAACATCTAATACAGATAATTCAGGTAACATTTTGACAATATGCACAGAATTAAATGTCTTTTTTAATATTAAAATATTTAAACTAAGATCATAGATGTGTTTTTAGTATCAGAGTGACAATGAGTATCAGAATTTAGAATGAGATTTAGTTCTAAAAAAGCAATAACTAGAAATATTGTTTCAACATTTCTTGTGTTATTTTTTTTTTTACTACTTTTCAATTAAATGTAGAGTTAACATTGTGTAGTTTACATTTTAAACAGTGTGTTAACCTTTGTGAAAACAGGGTGGTAGGTTTTATTTAGTAACGACCTCAGGTGCTGGTTCTAGGTGACCATGGTGAAGTTATTCTAGGATTTTCATGTTATAACTAAATTTTCTCTTCTTATGCCGCATGTTTTTGGCCCATCAGCTCTGGACCGAGGAAGTGGAGAAAGTAAGTATGATTGTGTGTGAGTTGTGTACTTTGTCGATTGTCTGTCTGGTTGTTAGATTGAGATACCAGTGTGCCTTAAACAAACATGTGCTTGTTTTCAACGGGCCACGATTTAAGGTGACTCTTAAACTTAATTACCATAGACCTCCTACCAGCTTTTACTCTTTTAGGAGCACATAGTGTCAAACGCTGTACATCCCAGCAATGCAAAAGAATTAACGTCATTTGGGTGAATGAAGCTGGAGCTTTTGTCTTCTGAGGACTCTAGGATATGAAAAGTAGGGGTGGGTTTTGATTATTGATTTATCAATTAAAATCTATTCTAGCTTGGATAACGTGATATCAACTCATTAAAACCCTGAATTGATTTTTTAATGTAAATTTTTTTGCCCGAAACGCCAGAATCTCAGGTGAAACCTCTCAAAAACAACCACCAAACAGCTAAAACAGTAAATGAGAGCAGGTACACGGATTCTGCACAAAGACGCAAACACAAAGCGCGGATCCACCGACGGATCAGAATCAGTGAGACGTCGCCTTTCTCACCTGACGGCACGGACACGGTCGGGGCTGAAAGCCAACAGCTCACTGATTCTGATGTTTCGCCGGGTCCGTGCTTTACTCCCTTTTTGCGCTAGATTCTGAGCTGTAGGTTTTTATCTCTCTCCAAACAATATTGACTGAACCAGCAGCAAAAGAAGATCCAAACTATGCTTCACATAACATCGTCATGGACTCCCTCTGACTTTTGCTGTTTTGCTTCCACCACGATAAAATCACACTTCATGCACAGCTCTCCCTCTCTCTCTCTCAGTATACTTCAAGAACAGTTTCCCGTCTAAAAATCTGTTTTCTGCATTATTCACTTGCACACAAGTCTACCGTTGTTTACAGTGCTGTCGGACGCTGTTTTTTTCCTTTTACTTACTTCTGAAAAGAAAACCTCATTTCTGCTGTTGAATAGTCTACTGAACAAATTTAAACATTTTTAAAATTATGCAAAATTGTAAAACGTTTAGCCTGGTCTCTAATAAAACTTCTGTAACTTTGCTCTGCTTCACTTCAGCAGCATCAGGTAATGTTCATATGTTGATTAATTGTTTTCTTTCGTTTTTGAGCTACTGCAAAATATTTTTATAAAATCTCTGCCCAGGAAAATCACCTTCATGTTTTTCTGTGTTTCTCAGCCACTTTGACACAAAGGCATCTGTTGTGATGCTTACACCTTTGATAAAGTCTCACAAGTGTCAGCTTTCTTTTTATAGATATAAATATATGGAAATGTACTGATGCATGATCTGAATTATAATATTTCTGACTGTCTGAGGCAAAAATTTCCCCGAATCGAATCGTGGATCGAATCTATTCAGAACCTTGTGAATCGGAATCGAATCGATTCTAGAAATCGGTGACGATACCCAGCCCTAATGAAAAGGTTTAAGACTCTTGACTTACTTAATAATTATAGAATAATCACTGTATAACTATTGTTTTTATTATTTCAGGCTGAACATGAGCTCCGAATAGCCCAAACAGAGTTTGATCGCCAAGCAGAGGTCACACGATTGCTTTTGGAGGGCATCAGTAGTACGCATGTATGTGAGTCACACCCACAGCCTTGACTTCTATCAGCTCCAGCCACACACAACCTTGACATTGAACTTTCAAAAGAAAAAGTAACTTTGTGTAACCATAGATGGCAATAGTCAAACACTTCACTGAGCTCTTCTCTGTAAACATTAAATATTAATTACAAAGTAAATACAGTACAGTTTTTTTCTCTCGCCTAAGATTAGAGAATAGCTTTGCTCAGACTACATATAGATATATAGTACACACACTACCAGTCAAAAGTTTGGACACACCATCTCAATTAATGGTTGTTCAATTTTAGATTTTAGATTCTTCCAAATAGCCACCCTTTGCCTTGATTGCTGCTTTGCAAACTCTTGGCATTGTCTTAATGAGCTTCATAAGGTAGTCATCTGAAATGGTTTTCCAACGGTTCCCAGACATGCTGAGCACTTGTTGGCCCTTCACTGTTACTTCACTCTGCGGTCTATCTCATACCAAACCATCTTGACTGGGTTTAGGTCAGGTGACTGTGGAGGCCATCTGGTGCAGCACTCCATCACTCTCCTTCTTGGTCAGATAGCCCTTACACAGCCTGGAGGTGTGTTTGGGGTTATTGTGCTGTTGAAAAATAAATGATAATCTAACGAAACGCAAACAGGATGGGGTGGCTCTCATCCTCTCAGTCCTGCAGGAAGTGCAGCGGAGGCGCCGCCCAGAGGGGAGCCATTGAAATGCGGGGTGAAGAATATGAGAGGGGTCATTGATGATTTTGGCTGCCTGTCTTATGGGCCTGTTGGCTGAAAACCTGTGCAAGAGTTCTGACTTGCAGGCCAATGATTTTAGAGCACACTGATGCAGTGTGCTGCGGTCTGTTCCTGTTCTGAAAGCTGACGGAGTGGAACCAGCAGGTAATGGAGAAGGTCATGATGCTTTGCAGGAAGGCATAGTAAAACGTCATCATGATGGGTGTGCTGACTCCAAAGGAGTTGAGTTTCCTAAGGAGGTATAACCGTTGGTGGCACCTCCTGAGAATCTCCTCTTTGTTGGCAGAGAATTTCAGGAGGTTGTCAAAGATGGTTCCCAGGTATTTGTACTCCTCAACTTCCTCCACTGGCTTCCCATGGATGGTGGTGGTGACTGAAGCAGCCAGATCTCTCTGCCTACTGGAGAAGGTCACCACCATCTCTTTGGTTTTGCTCACGTTCAGTTCAAGTTTGGAGCTGTCACACCACTCTAAAAACTCCCAAAGAGCGGGCTGATGGTGTTGTGAGGGGCCGGATGGGATGGCACGTCGCTGCAGGATGCTGTGGTAGCCATGCTGGTTCAGTGTACCTTCGGTTTTGAATAAATCCCCAATAGTGTCACCAGCAAAGCACCCCCACACCATCACACCTCCTCCTTCATGCTTCAAGGTGGGAACCATGCTTGTGGAGTCCATCAGTTCACTTTTTCTGCGTCGCACAACGACACAGCGGGTGGAACCAAAATCTTAAATATAGACTCATCAGACCAAAGCACAGATTTCCACTGGTCTGTTGTCCATTCCTTGTGTTTCTTGGCTCAAACAAATCTCTTTTGTTTGTTGCTTTTCCTTAGTAGTGGTTTCTTAGCAGCTATTTGACCATAAAGGCTGATTCACACAGTCTCCTCTGAACAGTTGATGTAGAGATGTGTCTGCTTCTGGAACTCTGTGTGGCATTTATCTATTCTCTAATCTGAGGTGCTGTTAACTTGCGAATTCTGAGGCTGGATGAATTTAGACTCAGCAGCAGAGGTGACTGTTGGTCGTCCTTTCCTGGGGCGTTCCTCATGTGAACCAGTTTCATCGTAGCACTTGATGGTTTTTGTAACTGTACTTGGAGAAACATCCAAAGTTTTAGCAATTTTCCAGACTGACTGACCTTCAGTTCTTAAAGTAATGATGGACTGTCATTTCCCTTTAGTTAGCTGATTGGTTCATGCGATAATATCAGAATCAGAAAGACTTTATTTATCCCCAAGGGACAATTAAGATACAACAGAGCAGCATGACGCTGAAGATAAGGACAGGCAATAAAAATTGAGATAATAAATACACAGAGTATACAGTATATACACATGTATAAAATTACACAGTTTTAAAATTAAAGTCACTGAATAGGTATATAAATGACTGTAAGTGACTAAAAGTGAATAAAGTGTCAGCAGTATAAAAGAGTGTAGAGTAGTTTATGTTTCTGGAAATGGTCTTATCGGCTGGAGTTAAAAAGCAGAGTGGCTTTGGGGACAAAGGTGGCTCTCATCCTCTCAGTCCTGCACGAAATTCCACGGAGGCGCTGCCCAGAGGGGAGCCATTGAAATGTGGGGTGAAGAATGTGAGAGGGGTCATTGATGATAGGGGCGATCGTGGCTCAAGAGTTGGCAGTTCGTCCTGTAATCGGAAGTTCGAGCCCCGGCTCCGACAGTCTCGGTCGTTGTGTCCTTGGGCAACCAAGCTTGGAGCTGTCACACCACTCTACAAACTCCTGAAGAGCGGGACCGTGGTGTTGTGACAGCAGTGACAGGAGAACTGTATCGTCAGCATATTTCATCAGGTGACAGTTAGGCTGTTTGGATCTGCAGTCATCGGTGTAGAGGATGAAGAGCAGGGGGGAGAGCACACAGCCCTAGGGGGAGCCAGTGGAGGTGGAACGGAGACCGGAAAGAGAGTTGCTGACCCAAACTTTCTGAGAACTTTCTGAATTTGAATTCTAACAGTTGTCAAATATGGCTGTACCAACCTGATTTCTCCACAACATAAACTGATGGTCCAAACCCCAATAAGAAAGCAAGAAATTCCACAACTGAACCCTGACAAGGCACAAATGTGAAGTGAAAACCATTTCTACTCATAACTGATTAAAAACTGATAACAATATAGTTCTTAAAATATGAAGCTCATTGAGAGAAGGCCAAGGGTTTGAAGCACTGTCACCAAAGAGAAGGGTGGCTCAGGAACCATAGATAGATGGATAATTGTATATTAAATATTGTTTTCACACATTGTGGTAGAGGTTTTATCAGTGTAAAAAAATCCAATCACATCGTTGTGGTCCTTTAAGAATGACTGCTGATTCTTATTTTCAGGTGAATCATTTGCGCTGCCTGCATGAATTTGTGGAGGCCCAAGCAGCTTATTACAAGCAGTGTCACCTCCACATGCAGGAGCTACAGAAAGAGCTGGGAAGGTGAGAGTAAAATGGGGGGTGATGTGGGTGGATGGTTTGATTCATTCAGCTTCGTGCTTGGTGAGAATTGATAGCCTGTATCCTTTATACCCCAAGCCTGAAGTTGTAATGCCAAACACTTCGGTTAACACAATGACACAACGATCTACTCATAACTGATTAAAAACAGATAACAATATAGTTCTTAAAATATATAAACTAATAACTAATATAATTACACTGTAGCAATTTCTACGAACCATGTCCAACATAGGACAATTAGGCAACTGGTATAACCCTTATCAAGCCTTATCATGCTTTTTCCCGTGGCATTGGAGAAGCACTTTTTATTTAACTTCACTAGTATACTAAGAACCTTTATCCTGCTGCTCTTCACCTAACCACCGGACTGCAGCAGCTCTTTATCTTGTCATTCTTCCCTGCAATATTCTGTGCTACTCAAAATGGTAAAGATTGGCATCCTCTATGTAACATTTTATGATCCACATTTTATGATTTACAGCAATGGATAAAGTAAAATTAAGAATAAAAAGTCTAAATACAATCATAGAATGGCATCATTAATCATATTCTTTTTCACCTTTCACCCTTTTGTTGCTTTGTGTTCATGTTAGACGACTCTGCAACACCACGATGATTTCTCTTACAGTAGTTTCTGCATTCCATTGTGCATTTCTATTTTGGCTGAAAATCTACAAAAAGCTGCTTATTTGGCACTGCTGAGTGCCAAAAGCCATAATTAAAAAATATTATACATTTTTCAACATGCATACAAATATTGTATTTTTTTTCACTTTGCAGCATATAATATATTGTATGCATTGCTTCAAGTTATAGCAGTGTAGATGCAGAAAAAGCTGTTTATTTAGTTTTTTAAACAAAGTTTTGCCCATTTTTTTATTATTTTAGTTTATTAGTGTTCTACATGTTCTGGATATTCAGACCATCACATCTACCTCTCCCCCCCAGGCTTCCTAATGCTTTCGCACTGAACTCCACAAACGCCATTGCTACTCCCAGTATGGTGACAGAAGGCAGCAGCAGCCCAGTGGAAACTGACACCCTTAAGATCGAAGAAGTTCAACCACCAGCTACAGGAACCCGCAAAGCCAGAGTCCTTTATGATTACGATGCAGCGGATTCCAGTGAGCTCTCCCTTCTGGCTGACGAGGTGAGGTTTCATCATCAGCCTGGAACTAGGCAGCCAGTATATGGCTATTGGTCTCTGGCCAGAAATCTCTCCAGGGCTTGGTCTAAACAATAGGCTCGGTCATGTGGCATTTGCTGGTTGTAATTATGTAATGCACTTACACTTTCCCGGATCTTTAATCTTTTGTTTGTGTGTATTTTCTTTTCTGATGATGGAAACAAGTACAACAATCTTTCTGTTCACATGCAGAGACGTATACAAATGTACACCTGTTAAAAGTATAAAGATTAAAAAGAAAATCAGCATTCCACTGTAACAATAGTCATGGACATGCCCTATGTGTAAAAGTAATTCCCACCACTCTCCCACGATGCTTTTTTGGAAAGCTGAGTTCAGTTTCACTAGACACAATCAGGCCTGATTACTGCTGGACCTTAAGAGTCAAGTAATCTGTTACATGGAACCTGTGTGACAGTGTGAAGTTACAAAACCCTAAGGCTCTTGGACTCCAACGAACCACAGTGCGAGCCATCACTCACAACTGAAGAAACCTTGAATCTTCCTGAGAGTGACTGGCCACCAAATTTACTCCAATGTGGCAAAAGCTGTGCAGTCCACATAGAGTGTACTAATGAGTACGGGTAACTGGAAAAACAGGCAGCTGATACAGGTTCCTGTTTTAATTTTGATTTCTAAAACAGATAAAATATGTTCGCAGATATTGTGTTTCAAATGTAGTTTCAAGCTTCATGCAAATTAAAAAGGAGCTAGTGACAAAATCAACAAGAGATGACTTTGATCAACATTGGATAGTTTATAGATTAATTGTAAACAAATTAGGAGTTCAGTTAAAGATGCAGAAAATTTAAACTGAACTCCTGGCATGATGTTGCTATGCTTTTATCCAGATACACTTTGTTTTTTGGAAAGACTGTGCATGACCTTTTTAGTAAACGTTTGCTGAGTTACTAGCATATTTTCATTTCTCAATATCATCATGTCATTCACAGATGATTTAAAAAATAATGCAATCAAATGTCTATCTGAGAAAGTATCCATGTGTTCATTCCAACTCTACAGTGTCAGCAGACACGTAGATACACACAGCATTTAGATTTCAGTCATAACTCTGAGTCAGACAGAGCTGCGCTTTTTAATCACACTCACATATTGAAAGTTTGATCATCTAAAAAAACTGAAACAATTTATGAACACCACAAAGGGGTTTGAGAAATCTCGCCCTGCTGTGGTTTGTATGTCAGCTGTGTCCAGTGTCTCTTTTATATGCTGAATTTAAAACACTTCCTCAAATGATACGCTTGTGCGTCAACAGTTGGTTTCTCCAGTAAGGTTCCTTTTTTCCTCTTCCTTCCTGCTTCTTTCCCCTTGATAAATTTTAGGAACTGAGACATTCATTATATTGTGAGCAGATCTGGATGACCTGTGTAACAGGAATCAGAATCAGAAAGACTTTATTTATTCCCAAAGGGGCAATTAACATACAACAGAGCAGCATGACGTTGAAGCTAAGGACAGGGCATAAACAGGCAATAAGAGATAGTAAATACACAGAGTATACAGTATATACACAAATAACACAAATATACACAAATGACACAGTTTTGAAATTAAAGTGGCTGAAAGGTGAATAATGACTGTAAGTGAGGTGGCGGCAGTGTGAAAAGAGTGTAGTTTATGGGTTTGGGAAATGGTCTTATTGGCTGAAGTTGAAAAGCAGGGTGGCTTTGGGGACATAGGTGACAAAAGAGACAAAGTTGACAAATTAGAAAAGCTTAACATAACCTGGGTTTGAGTTTCGGAGTAATTATATGAAAGAAATGAAGCCAGGAGAGCATCATGAGTAACTCTGCCTTTGTCCTCACCGGTGGGCAATTAGGAGTTAAGCCCCTTGTGAATAACAAGGGAACTGAAATGGTGTGACTTTTGTTCAATTCAGTTCAATTAAATTTTATTCATATAGAGCCAATAATAATAACCGCCACCGCAAGGCGCTTTATATTGTGAACTTGCATGTGAACAAGCATTTGGTGACCGTGGGAAGGAAAAACTCCCTTTGAACAGGAAGAAGCCTCTGGCAGAACCAGGCTCAGAGAGTAGCAGCCAGCTGCCACAACCAGTTGGTGGGGGGTGAGCAGATTGTCATTGTCCCTGGATCTGGGACCCAGGATTTTGAGTTTTAGGGAAGTTTTTTTTAGTTTCGCTCATCACTTCATGGCTCTATATTCTTTGTTGTTGGTGTTTAGCTTTCTGTTATTTCTCAGGGTAGGCTTGATACAACATTTCCTGCCTTTAGTTCTGAGGTTGTCTTTCAACAATCTTTATGTTTATTCTGTGTTTATGCAGGTTTATGGTCCCCTTTTGGTTTTAAGATGGAATTTATATTCAAGTGCAATAGCCTTCTGTTTATGATGTTGTGTTTTATATTCCAGATGAACTCCGAGTCCACAATCATGTGTTGTAGATTGATGGAACGGTCCTTCTTATTGACTCTTGCTAGACTAGGAGAAGCTTCTTCATTACTTGCAGATCTAAACAGTGAAGTTAGGGTTCACCTGCAACACCTGAGCATGAATAAGATCCTGGAAAGCAGCTAAATCATTTCAAGTATTGAAATACAAGCATGTGTGAGAAACATTGCTACTCAGTTACATGTGTAGAGTTACAGAAGAATGTAATCCCCGTATGATGACACCATTTACCCCAGTGTTTTCCTGTTTTCTGTTGAATAAAATATGGATAATATGGTTAATATACTATACTATAAAATGCTGATTATTTACATTTGCCTCTGTTTTGCACATTTTGAATGCTCGCCTTCTTTCTGTGTTACAGCTCATCACAGTTTACACAGTGCCTGGAATGGACTCTGACTGGCTGATTGGAGAGAAAGGAAACCATAAAGGAAAAGTGCCAGTCACATACCTGGAGCTTCTCAGTTAGACAGCGCACGTATGCATGTGCATGTGTGTGATTGGACACATAGTGAAGCCACAAAGAATTTCTCATTCTTACACTAACCTCTAATCCTCAATAACACTTCTCCCAAATACACAAAATGCTTCTCAGACAGCAGTGAAAATAGAAACACTCTTATAGTGACTCAAGGAAAATCCTCATTGGGGATGGTTAACATTCCTTTCAGTTTTCTGTTTGTGATGTTTTTGTGTTATGTGCATCCCAAAGTCCCAATGCTTGAATGAAATTATATTGGTGCGTTTGATGTCTTTGCTATATTTTAAAACTGCTTTCTTTGCTAAACTCTGATGAAGAATTTAATTGTAAAAGTCTAAATTATTCTCTCACAGAGATTAGAAGTGTAAGCTTTCACTGAACTGGGTCTAAACGACGAAATTCCTCAGTTTTTCTTCAAAAGGCAGCGGGGCGCGTGAAACAATTTCCTGTTCTCAATTCTTTGGGTTAAAGTGGTGATATTAGGCGACTAAAGAAGAAGTGAAAACAAACGGGACTTCTTTATGTTGTATTATTTTCCAGTCCCACTTCATATGTGAGGAGCAGGGAAACCATATAGGCCACTTTTGGTTTGTTTGAAAGATGTGACAGTTTCCTTCTTTTACTGCAAATGTGTTTGCCCCTTTCCTTTTTTTCCTCACAGTGACTCTTGTGATAACGTTAACTTATTGGTGATGAAACTGTCATATATGATGATTTCCATAGTTTACAGTTTACACTGTAGAATTGTAAACCACGGAAACTGTTTGTGAGGATTGTTTGGGGGAAAATATTTGCCTTAAGTGCTAGCTGAAGCGAATGCAATACCTATGTTATTTAAAGCAAGAATAGTCATTTGGACTTATTCTTTTTTTGTTTTTTGCTTCTCGCATTTTTCCACACCAATGCAGCTGCTCCTACGAACAATATGAACACTCTACACCTCTTTTCTAACTGCCTTAAGAGGACGGGTGGGGACTGCTGACAATGTGCTCTTCAAATATTGTACAAATGTCCTCTGATTTAAAGTTCACCACAGCCAGCATGCAACACTGACACTCCCCTGCAATTACACAACTGCCTGTGTGCTTTGGCCGTGAGTGTTGTTTTTTTTTTGGGGTTTTTTGTATTTCCAGTGTTTGTCAGGATTTTCAGTCTTAGTGCTGCATGTGCTACAGCCGGTACCCCGTCCTGTTGGACACTTATGTGTGTGTACATGAATGTAGACAAGTCTGTTTGTGTGAGATCTAAATCTATTGTGCTCCCTAATGTCCTGCATGTGTACATGCATGCACTGCCTTTATTTATTTATTTATTTTTTAAGACAGCCTGCTGATACGTTCACGTGAAATGAGCGTATGTTACCTGCAGGTCGTGTCACATGATAAGAATTCTTGCTACTCATGTGCGTTTTTGTCCTGCTCTCTTCTCTTCTGCTCATTTCACAAATTTGAAGTAACTTTCTGTTATCTGTCTGTTCCTTGCTGGATGAATGAAATGTGTCCATTAATAAAACTGATTGATTTGAATTCCTCGTTTTCAGTTATTTTTCAGTTTGACTCATAAGAACCCCAACTACACTTTTTGGGGTTTTTGTTTTTGTTTGTTTGTTTTTTAAAAATTTTTGCCTCTGATTTAAAATGTACAATCGCCCAAGTTGTGACGTGAAGTGCAGATTTTCACCTTTAATTCAAGGTATGTAACGGTCACGGTGCCTGGGTCATTGACCCTGAGTTAAGCATTTTGGGCTTTTCAAGTTCTCTTTATTAGTTATTGTCGGTCTGTTTCTTAGTTGGCATTGTGTTTTTCTGCGTTGTGCTTTTTTCCAGTTACTGTTATGCTTATGATATTCGTTCTTTCAGTTTACCTTGCCTTACTAGTGTTCCCTGTGTATTGTCTCCATCTATGATGTCCCCGTTTAGTTATTTCCTCTTTCATTTTTGTAACCTTCGTCTTGTGCGTTTAGAGTTTTTCACTTTCCCTGGTCTCATTTCCCCATGTAGTTCTAGCTGTGTTCCTTTGCATTTCACATCTCACTAATAACCTTACATCATCCCGTCAACCTTACAAGCCTGCTGCCTGTTCCCTGCCTACATGCATCCTAGCCATTAAGTTTATTTGTAGTTTCTTAGCTCCCAGTCTGAGGAGCTTGGAAAGAAAAGCATCTGGACTTCTTTAAGTTGCTTGAAGATGTTTCACCTCTCATCTGAGAAGCTTTTTCAGTTGGTGGAAAGTCTCAGATTTTAAGCCCTATGGGAGTGTCCCACCAAGAAGGTCATGGACCCCCTATTGATCCTCTACCTAATCACATGAGCCAAGGTTTGAAAATGAGTGTGGGTCACAATCAGCCAAGGTTTCAGGTGAAGGGTTACTTTGGGGCAGATCGGTGGAGTAGGTAGAGGATCAATAGAGGGTCCATGACTCTCTTGGGGGACACCCCCATAGGGCTTGCTTAAAATATGGGTCGCTTTCAATAAAGAGCTGTTTCCATTTAATCCCTGCCTGCCTATGAGCCTGCACCTGAGATCTTCACTCTACAAACTTTGCAACATTGCCAAAAGTATTTTATTAACTGTTTGTGGATTATAACAATTTTTGTACTTTTTCGAGGTCTCAAAAGCAGAGAATATGAGTAGATGTTATGAAGATGTTTGTATTAACCAAGGAACAAAGTATGCAATCATACAGTGGCTGTCTATGCTCTTCCAGGCCTTTGGAAGTTGGTGAGCTGGGCAGTGCATTCCTTTCCTTCGATTTCATCTTGAATGATCAAATGATAAGCTATCAAATGCTTGAAAATCACTCCAGATCTTGTATTTCCTTAATTTGTTGTGGAATAGTAGACCCCACCTAGTTATGAACTGGGTATCAGTCAATTAGCTAGTTATGTTTGAGTCTCTAGAAAGGCACTCTGCAAATAGTTGTGGCAAAATGATGCAAGGAATGCTCAGACCTTTACATTGGAGAGACCAAATAGCCACTTTATAAACTCATGGCACAACACAGAAGAGCCACCTCGACAGGACGAGACTCAGCAGTCCATCTGCATCTAAAGGAAAAAGGTCACTCCTTCGAGGATGCCAATGTTCACATTTTGGACAGAGAAGACAGATGGTTTGAAAGAGGAGTGAAAGAAGCCATCTATGTCCACTGTGAATGACCATCTATGAACAGAGGCGGTGGTTTACGACACCAACTGTCTGCCATCCAGTCATGAGATCCCTTTCCAGATGCCTTAACGCCTACTCACACCCGGGGCCATTTGACCTCAGGAAATCACATGATAGGGTGGGGCTAGATTTCACAATGAGTTCAATTCATTTCAGTTTTATTTATGTAGCGCCAAATCACAACAACAGTCGCTTCAAGGCGCTTTATATTGTAAGGTTGACCCTACAATAATACATACAGAGAAAAACCCAACAGTCAAATGACCCCCTATGAGCAAGCACTTTAGCAACAGTGGGAAGGGAAAAACTCCCTTTTAACAGGAAGAAACCTCTGAGAACCAGGCTTAGTGAGTGCAGCCATCTATCATCACCAGTTGAGTGTGAGGGGAGGAAGACCCAAACCCAGATTTTAAGCAAGCCCTATGGGAGTGTCCCCCAAGAGGGTCATGGACCCCCTATTGATCCTCCACCTAATCCACTAATCTGCCCCAAAGTAACCTTTCACTCGTAACCTTGGCTGATTGTGACCGTAGAGCTAAAAAAGCTTCTCAGATGAGAGGTGAAACGTCTTCAAGCAACTTAAAGAAGTCTAGATCCTTTGCTTTCCAAGCTCCTTAGATGTGTGAAAGAATTGTTACTCCTAAATGTGGGTGTTGTACTGTAATAAGATGCTGTCAATGCAAAAAGTTTGTTTATGAAATGTATTCCTTCCTAGACATCGTCCTATCAACTAAAAGTGGAAGCAGTTTGGAACAACAACAGTGTTCCTGAGTCAGGTCTCTTCTGACTCAGGCATTTGGAACCAAAAGCTCAAATTGATATTTTCTAGACTTCTTAAAAAAATATTAATTATTTATTTTAACCAGGAAGATCCCATTGAGATTAAAAACCTCTTTTTCAGGGGAGACCTGGCCAAAATAGGCAGCAGCAAGTATAAGATAAGATAAGCCTTTATTATTCCCACATGTGGGAAATTTGTTGTGTCACAGCAGAAAGTGGACAGTGCAAAGTTAAGCAGCAAAAATTAAGAAAAACAGTGGAATAGGATAAGATAAAAAATAATAAAATACAATATACAATGGAATAAAATACTTTATGCAAAAGGATAAAATACTGCATTGTCTGAAAAAATAAAGTATCTCACAGTTTGACTGTATTGTGGAGTCCTACAACTCTTCAAAAATGGTTCTCTTATCTGCTTGGCTTGATAATAATCAAACTCACTGTGATCACTCTTCCAAGTTAAAATAAACACTTTAGATATTTTGCTCTCCTTTGTTGGTTCTCCTTTTTCTGCTCTTAAAATCTAATTATATTTGAGGGTGTTTAGCGAACATTATACAAAATTCTATTCTTTTGTGGTTCATGTAGACTTTGGATTGTTCCAAGTTGGACAGACAATTGTATGTCTGTGAAAAGAGAGTCAGAACTCTGGTTTTCCCTATTCAATTCTAATATGTTCTATTCTGCTCTATCTATATAGTTCCAAATCACAACAACGCCTCAAGGAAACGAAGAAAACCCCGTCAATTAGATGACCCCTTTGAGAAAGCACTTTGGCAACAGTAGGAAGGAAAAATTCTCTTTTAACACGAATGAACCTCCAGCAGAACCAGGCTGAGCAAGTGCAGCCATCTATCATGACCAGTTGAGGGTGAGGGGAGGAAAACGGGACAAAAGGCGCAGTGCATAACTTTATACCACAGTGGAGTGAATGTAGTTAAATCTTTAAATCTACATTTATGAGTAAAACATTAAAAGATTAGTGTTAGCAAGGCTTAACTGGCTTCTGGAAATATTTTAGGCTTGTATTACCATACTCAAGCATTCTCCTGTTGTTTAATAATTTTTTGTGTTTTAGGTGTGTTTTTTAAAACATTATTTGCCAATGAGTAATCAGTAGCAATCAGTACTTATTGTTATATTTTGATGTGTCAGTTTGGCCAGCGGTAGCTTCAGACAAACAAATATTTGGACTATATCTTACTAGCTCAGCAATCAATAATTCTACAGCTGTTTCACTTTCTGTTTTGTAACTTCACTTTAATCAATCAGAATTGTGATGTAGTGGTGTCCTTTTTACAAAGGTTAGTGATTTTGCAAGACAGATGAGGTCATACGGACAATGTATGACTTGTTTTTCATGAAAATATCAAGGATGATGGGATTTACTCATTTTTCCACAGGATTCCATAGAGAACAACTTTTTCACAAGTAATTTCTTCACTTTCTTTTCTTTACAAAATGAACAACAGTTGGTAGTGCAATTCATGTGGCTTTGCTGGCTGTGGTGTGCTGTGCACCCATCTTTTCCTACTGTTTAATTACACTATAGTCATTTTATTTCGCGATATATCAGCACACACAAGAACCTTGGGGTCAGGGCTACTGAGAGCTGTGTAAATGGTAAATGGACCGATTCTTATATCATGCTTTTCTACTCTACCGGAGTACTCAAAGCGCTCTATACATTCACCCAATCACACCCATACTCACAAGCACTGACACTAAACCGAGTGCTTTTTTGCTAACTACATTCACACACATTCACACTCCGATGGATGCATCGGAGAGCAACTTTGGGTTGGGCATGCAGACTGGAGTAACCAGGGATCGAACCACCAACCTTCCGATCAGTAGGTGACCTGAGCTACAGCCAGGAGTGTGTGTGTGTGTGTGTGTGTGTGTGTGTGTGTGTGTGTGTGTGTACATGCAGGCTTCCATGAAATTGCATCCATTACAATTTAACAAATCACAAATGGCATAGCTAATTTTGAACTCTCTAAGCATTAGCCAATTTATAAGGGAGTAGGAGGGTTTAGTTCCCATTACCCTTTTAGCTTGCACTGCACTATGTTAAAATAAACTTCTCCCAATGAGATGACATACAAGCAGCTTGTGCAATCATGTCTATGCACAAGCCCTACTGGTGGTTTGCCCTTTAATATGTCAAACTTGCATAATTCACAGCATTTGGCACCTACTCAAATTAACAGAAGTCTTCTAACAGACTTTTATAGGGAATACATACTCATCTAATTCTATAAAAATAAGCAATCATAAAAAAAACTGTAAGTGGATAACTGGTAGCTGTATCTGCTGCACAAAGTTACATTTGCTGAAAAATCTGCACAAACAGCCTTCCCCTTTCCAAACTGTCTGTTAGATCAAGTCCAGGCAATGTGTAAGTAGCAGGGAAAGTAACAAGAGACAGAAGACTCATCACTATATTATCCAATGAGGATTTCCAAAGAACATTTAACAGGTAATAGAAACTCAGGCACAGGTTTGGTGTCTACAGTGCCTTGAAAAAGTATTCATACCCCTTGAATTTTTACGTATTTTGTCACCTTACAACT